CTAGTAACAATAATACTCACCCTAAGACTGAACTGCAGATTTATCGGAGTTGCTTTTTTCATATACAGTATAATGACAGGCAGTATGGTAGAAATATGTTACAGTGAATCCTCTTTTTTTCAGGGAAAACTTCAAAATCATTATGTGATTACATGAAATCACATAATGTCTCTAATGTTATGGTAGTTTCATTTTAATCTAGAGAGACAGAATATCAACTAAAATCCAGAAAAAAGACACTTTATGCAAAAGCTATAAATTAATTTACGTGTCATTGAAATACAGTATTTGATCCCCAAGCAAAACACAACCAAGACTAATTGGTCACCAGATTTGCACACATCTCAGGAAGGATGTTGGCCCACTCCTCTTTACAGAAACTCTCTAAATACTTTAGGTTTCTTGGCGGCCCCTTGGCAACTTGAAGCTTTAGCTCCCTGCACAGATTTCCTGTAGAGTTGAGGTCTGGAGACTAGCTAGGCCATTCAATGACCTTAATGTGCTTCTTCTTTAACCACTTCTTTGTTGCCTAGACAGTTTTTTTCTGGCTCTTTTTTTATGCCTGACACTTCTGTCCTCCATTTGTCTGGAAAAACACTGTCTGCACTGATGAATCTGCTGCAAGACTTAGATCTATGCTTTCGTGCTGTTTACAACAAGTTTCAACCCAACCACCCAACAGCATAAAAACACCATGATACAAGGAAAGATCCAACTTTCCTTGTATCAACAGCTCAGGATGCTGCTGGAGGTATAATGCTGTAATTCTTACCACATTTAGGCCAATTTGAACCAATTTGAACACCACAGCTTATCTCAGTATTGTTACTGACCATGTCAATCCCTTCATGACAACAGTGCACCTATTTACTTCCAGAAGGATTACCCACCATGTCACAAAGCTCATCTCAAAATGATTTCTTGAACATGACAATGGGTTCACTGTTCTGAAATGACCTCAACAGTCAAACCAGTGCAGCATCTTGTGGTGGAAGGGGTAATTCCCATCATGGATATGCACCCAACACGTCATGTCAATATGGATCATGTTGAATCTATGCCATGTAGAATTAAGGCAGTTTTGAGGGCAGGGAGTGTGTGTGTGTGCGGTAGGGATATGGTTGAAATGGAAGCTGGATTTGTACTCTTACGCTGGAAGTGAACACAAAGGGCCATGCCATATGTGGGAATGTCACAGTTAATAGATCAAGAAGAAAACAGGAACTTCTGACAAGAAATGCACAGAGATGTGGTGTCCCCACAAAGACATCTGTGTTATATTTTCCCAGCAGGGTTTCTCCCAACATGTCCATCTCTCTTCTTACTACAGTTCCCTTTTGCTTTCTCTCAACCTCATGGCCTGATCTCATAGAGACATGTCCAAAGTAGAGGGAGGTAGAGAGAGAACTGACTGAGATTCAGAAACATCAACTATTCCCTTGAGATACCCACAAGCACTCAGATTCATGCACAAAATGTTGGTTCTCTCTTAGTATCGGTTTGCCTTACTTCATTCAGTTTGGCCTCAGTGCGAAAGTCTGCTGACATACTGTCATATGTGCACGTACTGTGTATTCTCTCTCTGTCTTTTTCTCTCTCATTCCAAACATGACAGGCAACCACTTCCCGCTGACGGAGACTCTTATTATTATTCAAGTAACTCCATTGTTAGCTTTTCTGCTTAGAAGTGAAAAAACATTGGGCCGCACTTGCTCTTTGAAGTAGTCAAGGCTCATTCCCTGGTTACAAACTGACATAAAGTTCATAGACGCATGCATTAACCAAGACAATTCAATGTCTTTCTGGTCCTTAGTGTCACAGTCTGTAGGGTTATGGAATAAAGAGTTCAGCATTAGTTATATAAAGTTCAACACACTGAGAGTGTAGAAAAGACCTCTCTGCCAGATACTCCGAGACAATTAATTCAACCCATCTCCTCATCTCCACAGACCCCTGACTCCCAAGGCCAGTCATAAGAAGGACAGACGGAGAGGGATGACATAGGTCGTGGAGGATGTGCACATGCTCATACTAAAGAACATGCAGATGTTGCTATGGCACATGTGCACACATTCCTCTGCACATTTGTGTGTGGCCTATATTTGTCTATGAGTGTATGCATGCATACAAAGTATATCTGTCATCAGGAGTGTTGCAAATACACATGCACACACACACACACACACACACCTGTCTGGGCGAGTCAGACTCTCCCCTAATGGCACCACGGGGACCCAAGACATTAGCATATTAAAAGGTGACATTTCACAGCCTGCGCTATGCAGGAAGCTACAGCCCGATCATTCTGACAGTCTGACAGCCAAATATGCAGTCCGAAGAGCAGACACATGAGAGTATGGGTTGCGACACAATGGGAATATGGGAAAACCTCGACTAGATTTGAGCTGGAAAACACCTGTCCAGTCATAGTAGGAAGCCCCAAAACATGAGAATGAATTTGTAATCTAATTTGTGAGATCAGTGTTAGGTGTAATTTGTGGTCCCGCAAATGTGTCCATCTGTGTATTCATTACTATTTGGACAGCAAACAGAGAGAGGTTTTCACCCACAGCGAGCGTGCTGCTGTGTAGTCACCCAATATCCCACCTATGGGGATTACTTATGTGCTGATCAAATGCTGATTGGATGATGATGATAGCTCACGCACTGGTTGTACCACGTTTTTTTTGACACCGCCGCCATCAGACAACAAGATAAGATAACTCTTTATTGTCATTGCACAGTCATACATAGTACAATAGTACAATGAAATTGGAAAACTGTCCTACGTCGGTACTCCATGTAACACGACACATCACAACGCAACACAAACAACACAACACAGTATAATAACTTAGTAATAAAAAAGAAGAATAAGTGTATTTGTCTTGCACACTGTTATTATTGCACATTAATTATTATTGCACCTTGTTATAAATATAAATATTATTGTTATCGTTTTAAATTTTTTTATGTCCCCTTAAAAAGTCCAGGTAGGTAGCCAGTCAGGTCAGCTATTTGCATTGATCAGGGCTATTGCCCTGTTGTAAAAGCTGTCCTTGAGTCTATTTGTTCGGGACCTCAGCAGCCTGAACCTCCTGCCAAACAAACACTCTCTCCAGGTCGACGAGGAGTCCATAACTGCTACCAGACTGCCTTCAACTATACCTGCTCAAGCATTAAAATAAGCATAATGTGTTCCAAAACTAGCAGGAAATTTACATGTAACTTGTAACATGTAAGTTTGGTAATGAGTCATGCCATTAGATTTCCAGACTGTGAGAACGGCTGAGTTGTACTTGAGTTACATCCCATATGGAAAAGATATATATAAATCTTATAAAGTTTGTATCTGTCTTGTGTGAAACTTGTATGAAAAGCATATAAGAGTGAAAACTGATATAAGATCCCTTGAAAAATTATATAAATAAAACTTGTATGTTTTGGATACTTACTAAAAACAATATATGAAAGTAATGAGAAAGTGGCCACTTTCATGAGTAAATCATATAAGTTTTTACTATTGCTTTTCCATATGGGATGGCTCTGACAAAGCAACAGCATACAATCTCACACACCATTTCCATGTAAACAGTGTTACAGGTTAGCAACAACAGGCACAGGTAGACACAAACACACTGACATTTTAGCATGTGATCCAAAAATACTGACTTGCAGCATGAGTGGAAAAAACCTAGAATCTCTTTTTATACATGTAGAATAATGCTGATAAATTTGAATTTTTGTAGATACATATTCTCCAAGACGTAATTCAGTTCTCACTGGCACATACACTACACCTGCTGTTACACACACACACACACACACAACAGTCTACACTGCTGAGACAAGACTGACAATGGCTGAGGTCAGTAATTGGCTCTGAATTGCAGCTTCAGCAAAAGACTCGGTCCTGTTGGAAACCTGTCAGTATTTGGCATCTGTTACCCTCATTTTCCTTTGCAGGACAGCAAGATGTCACCTAGCTCACCGACATGTGTTACAATAGTTCCTCTACTTCTGCTACAATACGTCTGTCAGAGCTGAAGCTCTCACAGAAATGACCTGCCTGTCTTTCATGAGAACATTAAGACTGCATGTTGAATGGGATAAGAGGCAGAACAGAGAGATACTTCAAGAGCAAATCAGCAGCAAGCAAAGAGCAAAACAGACTCTGACACAGCAAGAAGCTGATAAATACAGACCGTTTATCAAATAACAATATCCAAGGACAGAGAATTTTTCATCTGTAGTTGAATAATGATGCCACGTGAAGCGATCCAAAACTGAGGGATTTTCCATTTTCAGATAACCTTTACTGTGAGCAGACCCATTCTCCTCCTGCTTTCCAGCTCATAAGCCAACAATTACAGCAAGCACTTGTCTCTGCGTGTATCCTATAACTACCATTTTCAGGTTGTAGTGTCTCTGAGTTGCCCTCGCTCTTCTTCTTCTCTTTAGTTTCTTTACAACTATTCCATCAAAACAAGGGACAATGTTGCACTGAATGGAACTTCCCAGCAGGAGTCCTATGATGCAATGACAAAAAAAAGAAAAAAAAAAATTCTATCCTACTGTATGCCTTAAAAAGAAACAATGCAGACTTACTAGTAAAAGCATACTAATTATAGTCACAGAAAGCCGCTTTGCTGTTGTGCATTAGAAGCTCTGACTCTTGCTTGATGGGGGAGCTAAGCAGCTGACTCTTTGAGTCTGAAATGCGTCACTACCTCAGCATGTGATTCCACTCTGTGATATAAACTGCTAATATTTAAGAATTTTTGCAAGATCAGCTGTTGATTTTTTTTTTGAAACCTTGGTTCTGCTGAGGAAGTCCACTAGCTTAGTATACTATCCATCCATCAACTGTGGGAACATGACAAATAATAAAGTTTACGGTAAGATAGTAAGGCAAAAACAATACAGAAAACTAAATTATTTTTTCATTTGCACTAACCATCTTCATCAGAAAGTCCGAAGACTAAGAGCCACAAACATACCTTCATTAGTACTGACTCGCTGAGTTTCTCACGGTTCACAATCTTAATGGCGACTTTCTGGCATGTTACACAGTGGACTCCAAGTTTGACCAACCCTGGAAAAAAAGGAAATACACATTTCATTAGTTCAGACACTCTGCTGAATATGAATTTCCACTGAAAACATTAGGAAAAGTCCTAAAATGGGCTGTGATTCTTAAAAAACACACTTAAAAAAAAATTCTCTTGTCAAGTGCATTGACAAGAATAATATAAAGCAGCTGAGGACCAAATGTTGCTAATGCTTGTAATGACTTGTGAAGTGTACACAGAGCCTTAAATTAACTGCCCTCTGGGGTTTATTTGAGTCATAAAGGCAGTAAGTGAGCAGGCCATTTGCTCTATTGATTCCGATAATGTATTAAACCACTGTAATGCAGTAATGTTAATTCATCTAAAATGGCAACAAACAATAGGATTATAAAAAAAGAATTACAGGATAAAAAACTAATTATCAACCAGCATCCAAAATGACATGAATGAAGAAAAACTGCACGGAGCTGTAGTGAGAAACTGAAAGTAGAGTGGCATATTTCAAAAACACAGCAGAAAACATTACCATTTTCTTCACAAGACAAACACACTGATTCATGGGTAGAAATCTGAGTGTGCCAGTCAGTTGTATAGGGACTCCCACACGAAGACTCTGTCAAAACTCATATAATTCCTGTGATTTCTCACACAACCCAAAAAGCATCTTCTGCTTTGCCTTACTAAATGTCCCCAGGTGTCCTCACTTAAGTGTAGAAAACCGACAGGGATATAACAACAATGAGTGTAGTTACAGTGGAACAAAGTGATGAGTGCATTTGATACAAGGAAGCCATGAGAACAGCACCAATGCATTTTCATTTGAGCTGCATTTTTATTAGAAAGATGTTTGAAAAGAAAACAAGAAAAACAAAACACCCCAAAAAACAAATTTTGGTTCTCTTTCATGGAAATTTCTCATGATTCGGCAGATATAAACTGCAAACTATATCTAGAAACTATATCTAGAAACTATATCTAGAAAAAAAAAAGACTTCAGCAATTTAACAGCTGAAAAGCAAAATTGAACCTGATTTAATTTAGCCTCTTTAAACTTTGAGGACCTCTTTCGGTGCCTCCACATACATTTAGATTTTCCCTAGAAATACCTTCCTGATGAAAACTCAGTTTCACCAGAGAACTTCGGACTTGCACAGACAGCAAACATAAACGTCTGTGTCAAACTGACTCAACATTCACATTAATGATCATTACTGAAGACAGCAGTATTCAGTGGAAGCCCAAATGTGGCTCACATCACATCAGGTGAGAAGCACAGTAAGGAGCATGCTTGTCTTTTTTCCCCAACATTGTGCACTATAAATTAATTCCCCAGGATCACAGTCAGCATGGGAGTTCTACAGTGACAGATTCCTTGCCCTACTTGCAAGTGTCAGCTTCCTGTGACTGCATCTTCTTCTTCAAACTGAAATTCAAGTGAAAGGATTGCTGATTTGACACAGAGCAGAAGATTAAGCCTGCTGCTGCAGCTGCACGAAAGCAAGTGGTGTGAATGGAACTTCCAGGGAGCAATCTAAAAATAGCAAGAATAACGTCAGTGGTCCGGAGGTGTACAGTAAAACATCCTTGAAGTTAATAATGGCCAAAATAAAATAATTTTCAGTCAATGAAAGATTAAAGAATAGAGTAATTTCCTACAGAAAGGGTTTGCTGGTGTGAAGCAGACCAATGTGGGCTTTTAGGATCCTCAGCTATGTCTTTCTCATAGATTTATTTCTGTATAACCCAATAGAAGAGGAGAGTCAATGAGCTTTGAGGAGGTGTTGAAAAACAGGGAAGCAGAAGTATGAAATGCCTTGAACGCAACAGAGATGACGGTAGGGGGAGGGCCAATTGTGGGATATAGTGAAGGAGGAGTGAAAAAGTGAATAAAGATCAAGTGAAAGATGAAACCAAAAAAATTTAAATAGATTGAAAGTAAAGGACACAACATTATTCAAATGACAGGCCACAGATAATTAAGCAATAATGGGGAGTGTGTGGGTGTGAGCCTCTATCTTGGGAAGTTGAGAGGCCGCAGGGGCCGAAAGTGGAAACACATGGAAAGGAGGTGTGAGAGATAGAGAATGACAGAGAGATAGGAAGCAAATGTTAAAAAGAGGAAGATAAAAGATTTAGAAAGAAAACATTTTGGAAAGGGGATGAGGCAGTTGAGCAGAAGGGGGAACAACAGACAAACCCATTAGACTTGTGATGGTAATCATATGTTAATGACTGCTATAGAGAAGCTCATAAGTCATGATAAACACATTAAAGAGAAAATATCTGCCTGCAAACACATGAAAAGCTAACTGGATTATTCGCCTCACTATCCATCTTCCTCCAGTGCCTTTGTTTTCTTGAGCAGGGGCCACATTAGCAAGAGAAAATGTGCAATGAGAAGACAACACATTATGATTTTACAACCACTTTGCTTATGGATTGAAATGAACTGTTACAAGGAAGTTCAGTACATAAGACACAAGACATTAGCCCCTCTTATGCAAAATATCTCAAAATTATGACTCACAACAAGAAGCGAATAAAACTAATGCTCGTGGAAAAACACATTCAAATTACTAGCTAAAGCCAACAACAGACAAAAGTCAGATTGTCCTTTCTGAACAATGCCAAATGTGTCGATTAAATACTCAGCTGAGCATGAATTCTTGTACTAAACTTTGCAGCAATCCATCCAGTCGTTGTCAGGATATTTCTAAAGGCCAGAAATGTCAACTTGTCCATGTCTGCATAAAAGGTTGTTGAAATGTGTCAGAATCAAAATGATGTAAATCACTGCTATCCCTGAAGCTAGGCTGGTAGCACGGCTTGTATTTTATATGAAAATGAGGCACAGAGAGCTTAAAACAAGCTAAAGCATGTCATTATGTGTGGGTCTTACTTTCAGACATTCCAAAAAAAAAAAAAAAAAAAACATTTGCCAAGTAAACAACATTTGGACATAATGTCAAAGTGTGCCCTATAAACTCAAAGTCATATTTGCCAAACTACAACACAGAGCAAAGTAAGAAACCCTGAAGAAGTTGTCAATCCTACCACAACACACCAGACAACAAATGCAATAAGTAAAGCATTTCTGTTCTTTTCTTTTGGATTTCTGTCAGTGAATTGGCTTTTGTTCACAGGACAAGCTGTAGACTGGTGGCCAGTGGTTGAGATCTCTCTGCAATTTTGTACCTTCAAAATAAATTCCCTGGCTCTTACATCTATGACAAAGCTGATGATATTACGGTACGTCCCATACATGACCCCAACATCCTTCTCCCAACATCAAACACATTTAAGAAAAAATCCTCAAAATAACTGCACTATGATTCTCTTATTTCAAGTATGCTGCGATAGCTAACTTCACTTTCTCCATGACCCAAAATAAACTCCCCTCCTCTGCTCTCGAGTGTGCTGTAATTTAAGAGCTCACCTACTGCCAGTGCCCCTTTCACCTGTCTATAACAGCACCCTTGGACAAACAGAAAAAAAATGAAAGCTGGAGTGGCAAGCGAGGGAAGAGGAAGACACCGGGATTTTGTCTGGCTCGTGGTGTGCTGAGTAGGTAGGCTGTCTTTGAACATAGGTTCAAATGTAAGGCTTCAGCTGAAAGCACAAAGGTTTGGTCCACATGAGGGGTCCATTTGCCAGCGCATGGCTCTGTGTGCGCATGTGAAGCAAGTATCTGTGCAAGTTTGAAGCTGATGTGTAGCATTCTTTAGATTCTCGCTACAGAAGAACTGTATTGTGATTTAGTATCACATATGAGTGGTTTATGAACCAAACAAGACACGCGCGTGTTTTTCACTGACACATGCAATATACGGACAAAAGCAGGCTGTGCAGTGAAGGTTGCGATGCCACTGCATCAGCAAGTATATTGATGTCTCCTCTCCTTTGCCCTCCTCCCAAATCAATAGCATCAAAACTCTTGCCTTCACAACAGTAGAAGAATAATGGCACTGACCAGGGACTCGTGGGCAGAAGAGACCACTTGACTGACCCCCTCCCCACCCCACTCTAGCCTGTACCCCAGCTACACAATCTTTATTTTTCATGCACCCTTGTGATTAATGGCCTAATGTGGAGGGACTGCTGGAGGAAGACGCAGAGTGATAACTTTGGCCAATTGCTCGGTGAGCATCATGAGTTGAGCATTGTTTAAGTGCACTGTGCTGGAAGCTTGCTTGATGTCACAAATCTCGGCTGAGAAATATTAGTTTTAAAATAAAAGCTGAGCAAACTGTGCTGAGTGAGCTAGACAAAAGGTGTAAACAAGGGTTGAAAGAAAAGGTTTAAATGAAAAAGCACGAAGCAAGCAATAGGTCGCAAAAAGCAAAGAACATGCACATAGAGCATCCGCTGTACAGCACCTCTTTATCGCCAATGGGACAACTTAATTAACCGCAGAATGTGCACAGTTGTGAAAATCCCTCTAATCAGCTACTTTTCAAAAACTTTAAAAAGAAAAAATCTGGCAGTGCATCTGCTTCTCTATATCACTGAGCCATGTGTCAGCTCTGATTTGGTAATGAACCTCTGGTCTAACTTCACAAGTCACTGTTTCAAGATATTGCTGCTGAACTTGCTGTCCTAAGAAATCTCTCTAATGGGTCCTAGAGTGTATTCATTATGACAGCATGTAGTTGGAACATTTTGAATTAAGCAACTTTTCTGGAAAAGATCTAATTGACATGAGACTGCTGGCCTGAAGAAACAATGTTTTTACCAATTTGACACATACATTGTTGCGTGGGCTGAATTTATGTGTGCAACACATTTCCCTGACAAACTTTAGCTCGTCTCTATTTGATACTGTTAGATATTGTTAATGATTTCAGAACAGTTCAATTCTGATTTTTATAAAGCACCAAATCACAACGTCAGTTGTCTATAGACACTTTACACTGGAAGCTAAAGACCCCATAGGATACTGGAGAAAACTCCAACAATCAAACTGCCCCCTATGAGCAAGCAGTTTGCAACAGTGGGAAGGAAAAAACCCCTGTTAACAGGAAGA